TCATGTACATTTTTATAACAGAATACCCAATGAGTATTAAGGGTACATCACGACTCATGCACGCGCCGTCAGAACTGAAAACCCTATGAATGGACGGTTAGCAACCTACTTTTAGAGGGTGATCTTTTGTGACTGAAATTGTGCAGTTACATTTCATCACAGATCACATTTGATGACCAATTAAACTCAACGGAATGGCGTCCACTTGAGTTTTGTTTTTGTTTTTTGTTTTTTTCTTTTCTTTTCTGTCTACTCTAATGATTTTATCGAATTCTGCATTTCATTTTGTTATCGTTGATTTAACGTTTCTGGTCGAACGATTCTTCGACTCAGCAGCTCCAGCCTACCAGAAAGCACTCGACGACAGCGGATACAGCTACACACCTCACTATGAACCAACGCACAAGCAAAGGCGCAAGAACCGTCAACGCAACAACATCCTCTGTTTCAACCCACCTTTCAGCAAGAACACCAGCACTAACACCGGACATAAACTCCTCGCGCTCATAGACAAACACCTCCCTAAAGACCATATGCTTCGCAAAATCTTCAACAGAAACACAATAAAGATCAGTTACAGCTGCATGAACAATTTAAAACAAATCATTGACAACCGCAACAAAAGAATCCTCACTTCCCACGTAAAGAATAAGGCTGCCGACACAACCGCCGACACTATCGCTAACAATAAGAAGAAATGCAACTGCTGACAGAAAAATTCATGCCCACTAGACGGAAACTGCCTCTAACAATCTATTATCTACCAAGCTACCGTCACACGTAAAGACAACAACTTGACGGATTCATACATCGAACTCACTGCAAATGACTTTAAGACCCGCTACAGCAACCACACCTCATCGTTCCGACACGCAAAGCATCGAAACTCTACCAAACTCAGTAAACACATCTGGACACTTAAAGACAAAAACATCGGCTATTCTATCACCTGGCGCATTCTATCTTCACACCTGCCCTACAACAGCTCAAGCAAACGATGCAACCTATGCCCTAAAGAGGAATTCCTGATCATCTGCCTACCCGACCTATCTACACTCAACAAACGTAACGAACTCATCTCTTCCTGCCGACACAGAAACAAAGCCCTCCTACGCAACAGCTGACTTGACACTTTTCGCACCAAATAAATTATGTTAATTAGTATAGTATATAAGCAATGGTACTGCGTTATTCTGT